GGTTTAGGGTTTAGGGTATAAGTCCTAGTTTGGCTTAGGACGTTTGGGGTTGAGGGCTTAGGGTCCACAAATCTGGAAACGAGAAAAGGAGGGTCCTATGCTCGTTTAGACCACTCGCTAGGCTTTACGTGCGCGGATGCCGGGAACTCCAAACCGAAATAGCCTTCAAAATTGAACAGCTGGCCGGATCCGCTTCGGGCATAAAGATATTCGAGTTTAAAATTAGGGTGTAGGCTTCTACGAGAGTTGGATATTAGGGCTTAAGCATGGGTGCTTCTAATAGGTTGAGGAGGTTTGTACCCACGAGACCCTCTGACCCACAATGACTATAGCGTCAAACAAACAGAAGCTCCCTTCTGAAGGAGTCTCGGAGGTCTAGCCAGCCAGGTACCACCAAAGTGCTGTTCCGTGTTTAACCCATGGGATCTAAGTGCTAATGATACCTGATACCTGTATAAAACAAGAGAATTGACCATAATGTGTCGACTGAAGAAATCGACAACAAGTATGACTAAGTATGAACTTCTCGGCACTCAGAGCCTGAGCAAGGGTTCCTCCAGCTTGACTTCGCCTTGAGTATTGGGACCCGTAGGGATTCTATTTCTAAAGACCACTGCCAGATGTCGAGGTATTTACACTCGCCAATATAAGTAAAGAGTTGTATGTGCCCTATGTGCTATGCACTCGCCACAACCCGACTATCAACCCTACCTCACACTGGCTTAAGTTCTACCAACTACTTGAACTATTCCGTGATCTACCTAGAGTTATCCTTTGGGTTGAACTACTTCGGCTAGGACCTGCACCACGAAACTGAGGTACCCAAGAAGAAAGTACTACATTTGAGGAAACCCTAAACCCCTACACCCTAAACCCTAAACTTCCCTAAACCCCAACCTTATCCCCATTAAACCCTAAACCCTAAACATTAAACCCTAAACCTTAAATCCCTAAACATATAACCCTAAACCCTAAACATTAAACCCTAAACCCTAAACCCCTTGGCCCCCAAGCCGCTCGAAGCCCCCGAGGCCCAAGCTCTGAGAGTCTCCTGGGCAAGGCCCTCGTCTGGGAGCTCAGATGTCCTCACCGCAGAGGGGTTTTGGGCTTTAGGGTTTAGGGTTTAGGGTTCAGGGTTAGGGATCAGGGTTTAGGGTTTAGGGTTTAATTAGAGTCCAGGGTTTAGGGTTCAGGGTTTAGGATTTAGGGCTCAGGATTTAGGATCCAGGGTTTAGAGTTCAGGGTTTAGGGTTTGGGGCTCAGGGTTTAGGATTTAGAAAACTCCATAGCATCACTACGGGCCTGCATAGCTTAACTCGAGGCTTTTAGGGGTTCTACGAGGTTCCAACATGAGGGTTTGATCCAAAGGACGGGATACTCCGATCGACTTGGGTTCTCGCCGGAAAGGGGGGTAATTATGGCTGTATACTGTGCACAGATATATTGTCAAATATGGAACCTTATGGAACAATGTTCTTCGCTATTCAGATCTCGTCACTACACCCTAGACCCTAAACCTTAGGTCCTGCAAAGACGAGAAGGGTCTTGCAGGGAGCAAGAAGACGTCTACTTCCAACGACCTGCTGAGAGTCTAGAGTCTAAAGTACCCTGTAATCAAGTACCTGGGTTTAGGATACCAGTTGTTGCTCCTGGAGCTGGGTAGACATATGACCGTTGACGTGTGAGACCTAGAAACACTAAACGCACAGACCTAAACCCTAAGACCCTAAACCCTGAACTATTAAAGCCCGAAGACCAGAAACCCAAAGCCCCTAAAACCCTTAACTCTAAACTATAAGAGCCCTAAGACCCTAAACCGTAAGCCCCTAAGACCCTTTTAACTCCAAACTATACAAGCCCTAACACCCTAAACCCGAAACAAAATTCTGCATGACCCAAATATAGTATAGTACCATAAATCCCATAATTTAGGTATATAGGGTAATGCAGGATTTTGTCCATCAGCCGTATAAAGCCTTCAATCCCTAAACCCTAAAACCTAGGACCCTAAACTCTAAAAGCCCTAAGACCCTAAACAATAAACCCCAAAGACCCTAAACCCTAAACTCTATCAGCCCTAAACCCCTAAACCCCTAAGACCCTTATCCCCTAAACCTCGGTTTAGGGTTTAGGGTTTAGGGGTTCAGGATATAGTGGTTTAGGGGTTAAGGTTTGGGGGTTTAGGGGTTTAGGGTTTAGAGTTTTAGCCTGAGCAACTCTGTGCAGGATCCCTGAAACCCCGACGTCCAGTCCGAAAATACCGATGACGAATTCCCACAACCCTGGAAACTTTAAGGTTGAGGGCTTAGTTATGGTTTTCGGTGTTGCTTGTTGTTGTTGCTGTTGCTCAGGGGTTTGCTGCGCCATTTTCGAAAGGCTGTCTTATTAGAATGCCACATTGGCTGTCGATATTGAAACCGAAATCTAAACCCTAAACCCTAAACCCCAAACCCTAAACCCTAAACCCTGAACCCTAAACCCTGAACCGTCGGACAACGCATGCTGAAAGACCCTTGGAGCCCTGAGCCTTGATGCCTCGAACCCGGATCCTGACGCATTGAAACATTTCTGGGGTTCAGGGTTATAGGGTTTGGGTTTAGGGTTTAGGGTTTAGGGTCTAGGGTTTAGGGTTTTTGGTTTTCTAGGGTTCAGGGTTATAGGGTTTGGGTTTGGGTTTAGGGTTTCGGGTTCCTGAAATATTTTTAATACGTATTTATAAGGTTCTAGGGTTCAGGGTTATAGGGTTTGGGTTTAGGGTTTCGGGTTCCTGAAATTTTTTTTAATTTCCGATGTTAAGATCCCTTATAGCCATCACCAAACCCTCGACCCGTCTGAAAACCTCTGGCTTCGGCAAATATGTGACCTTCAGCAAGCAGCGCGTAGACTCCAAGAGCTTAATCAAGAAATGATGACAACAAGACCACCCGGCCTAAACTCCAAACTCTAAACTCCAAACCTCCTACGCAACCCTGAAACCGGAAAGCCTTGCTTCCTCAACGCAAATCCCGCCCTCCACCCTGTCCTTCGCAGGCGCACGTGCAGCGCTTGGGCCACGGGCGGCAGGGATGTGTCGGGGACCTGACCGAGCAGAAGGTGAGTGATTTGGGTTGCGGTTTGGGGTTTAGGGTTGAGGTTTTGAAGGGATTTCGGGGTTTCTTTCTATCAGGCTACATGAGAGGGCTCCACAAGGGCTCTATAGGGGCCTAAGTGTTTTAAGTAAAGATACTTACAATGAGGCTGGGGTAATTTCTTGTAGCGTGATCAGCCCTCTGATTGAGTCAGTGTACTGTCTTTGGTCTCGATTTTTTGCATTTTTATCAGGTAGCTGTGTCCATAACTTGTCGTGCCGGGAATTAGGTACTTAGGGTTCAGTGTATTGGGATTGGGGCAGACCAGTATTAGGGAATTTGGGCACAAGTATTCGCCCGCTAGTGAGCAAGGGATAAGGTTTAAAGCTTGAGAGCTTGGAGTTCCCAGACCCTATACACTCTAAAGTTTAATGTAGGGGCCTTAAAAATTAGAATAGGTTTTCGGTGTATTGTATGCTATAATTTTAATATTAGGAACCCTCCCAAATTTTGGTAGTTATTTAGACCCCTACCTTACCCGCAATACCTACTACCTAGGCCAACCCGAGAGTGGTTGCTGTGTAGTGATTTCGGAGACAAAGTATCCACTACATGCAGAAGACCCGAAACCCTAAACCCTGAACCCTAAACCCAAACCCTGAACCCTAAACCCTGAACCCTAAACCCTGAACCCTAAACCCTGGACCCTAAACCCTAAAACTCCCACGAAGCAATGCACCCTTGAAGTTTAGATGTGCAGTGGGTTTGTTAAAGCCCCATGGAAGAACATCCGAAAACAGGGAATCCACGAAAGGGCATGCTGTAACAATCCCAGAACTTAATATGTAGATGCAAACAAGTAGCTTAAGATTAGACAATTGCATGCTGCGTACAGAAGCCACATATACGTATGCATATCGGTATGCATGTACACATAAACTCACAAACAACGTATCTGTAACGTATGTATGTATACATATATATATATATATATAGATGCACACATAAATACATACCATCATATGTATATCACACATTTGTTGGGGAGCCCTCGTGGAAAAGAACGCTCAGGATGTAGACGGTAGGCCGTTGCGAGCCAAGAGACCAGTCCCAGTCTCTCTCCGGCTTTCAGGAGGTCCGCATGCCTGAGAAAGAGGATTTACCTAGACCCTAAGTAATCTACCATTTTAAAGGTCGAATGTAGGGGCAAAAATAACTAGAACAGGGTCTTGGGCTCCTTTATAGTACCATTATAATCAGGAGCCCTAAGAGTAACGTTGGTAATTCTTTAGGCTTCTATATTACGGGGGATCCGTGCCCCTGCTTCAGGCTTCTAGGGTTTAGGGTATATCGAGCCCACAAGGCGCTGGGACCGTTAGGAGTTGTGGGTGAGGACACAGGCCTTTAGTGCATTGGGGTGTAAGGTTCCGGGCTGAGGGCTGGGGGCGCGGGGTCTCAGCTAGAGGCTTAATATAGGGGGCCTTCACAATAAGAATAAAGTTTCGGAGCCCATTATACTGTATTTATAGTAAGGAACCTCAATATCATATAGGTCATTTTTCAGGTATCATTCAGACAGCTTCGGGCTGCTCTGGGCCCCAATAGCATCTGATCCTCAGCCCCACCCCCGAAAGGATTAATCGTTCATCTTTCGCGTGAAAAGATGGAACCCTAACCCTAAACCCTAAACCCTAAACCCTAAACCCTAAACCCTAAACCCTAAACCCTAAACCCTAAATTTGACCTTTACCCTGCACTCTTTCAAACCTCCCGGCTCAGCACCGAGGACCGTTCTGGCGCAAGGCATTCTGCACGTACGCGCTGAAGCCTGAATTGCACAGGGACTATGACTTCATCGGCTTCACCTTCCCTAAACCCTAAACCCTAAACCCTAAACCCTAAGCCCAAAAACCCTAAACCCTAAACCCTGAACCGTTTCAGGGTTTAGGGTCTGAGTTGCGCTAAGACTTCAGAGCCGTTGCGTGCATGCAGCTTGACCTAGCCAAAAGCTACTTTTTTTGGCAAGGCCCTCATAATTCTATGCAAGAGCGTAAAATAAATAGATTCATAGGCAAGATAAGGGTTCAACATGGTTCAGGGTCTAGGCATCTGAACCCTCACGCCCCAAGCAAGGCCGCGACTGGTGTAGGGGCCTTAGTAATTAGAATAGGGTTTTTGGGTCGGGTTTTGGGGTCGGTGTAAGACACTACAATAAAAGTCAAGAACCCCCCAAAATAGTATAGGTAATTGTTAAGGCCCCAAAATAGTATAGGTAATTATTAAGGCCCCTACATTACATGAGTAGCTCCAAGCACAGCCCTGAAGAGCTTGACTGCCCTGCGGCGTAAGCCCCAAAACCCTGAACTGCCCCAGACCCTGCAACCCGAAGAATGTAGGGGCCTTAATAATCAGAATAGGGCTTTGGGGGCGTCTTATTATAATTGTAGTATAATAACCCCCCAAACCCTATTGTAACTATTAAGGCCCCTATTTTATGGAACCCTATTTCAGATCCCTTCTAGACCATTTTTAAGGAACCAAGGAACCCTTGAAAGGAGCCCTATTCTAAAAAATAAGGCCCCTACATTACCCCCCCCCCC